AAGTTGGCCGAACCCTCGAAAAGGATGACGGTGTGCAGCATTCCGGTGAAGTGCCTCCCAGGCTGATGGTGCTCACCTCGGAAAAGGGTTGGCCGTACTCGTGGAATGCGCCGCATAGGGCTGGCAATGACTTGTGTGTTAACTCTGAGGTGGAGCGAGTGTGGCAGATCATCAGGAATGATCTAACCAAGGGTTCAGCAATTTTGATTTGACTCTCAATCCTTCACCTTTGCTTCGTGTGTTGGTTGGGACGCCCGGGATCGGGAAGTCGATGGCTGCCAGCTCGTACCTCCTCTACCAGCTGCTGCACTACGATGTGGAGAAACTCCAAGTGGTCGTCCACTGTTTTGGGGAGGATGCGTACGTATTTGACAGAACCACCAAAACCGTGACAAGATACATGGATGAGATTATATCCGAGAGTGTTTTGGATGGTTTGTGGCAGCGTGGGATGAAAGGGTATATTATTTACGATGTGGCAAGGAAAGGAACACCGCCCGACACAGGCTTTGCGCCCTCCACCGGATGGGGCATGATTGTTGTGTCATCGCCAAACCTGGACAACTATGATAAGTGGGCGACGCAACTAAAAGCCAGTCGAATCATCATGAATTGCCCCGACGAGATGGATGTGAAGGCGATGTGTGCGTGGATGAAGCGAGGTCTGGAACCCGATAAGCAAGCGGGATACTGGGGGATGGTCAAAAAACACATGGAGAATGTGGGGCCGATTCCACGTTACATCTTTGATGCGAATGAGTTCATTGCGCACTCTGCTGCCGTTGAGGATGCCTTGGAAGGGATCAAGTCCCGGGACGGTGAAAAGCACTTTACACATGGAGGAGTGAGGCTGTGGGACTCTGAGGATCCGTCTCACAAACTTGTGAAGGTCGTCCGAGGAAGAATAGTTGAAGGTGCTGAGGTACTTCTCAACGCACCGATATGTGCTGATATCGGGTTTTGAACTGCGGACCGTTTGGAAAAGGAAATGGATGCGAAGGATCTTTTGTTGCTGTTATTGTGATCGCGTGGTGCTCTTGCTTCCCGAGCTCTGGAACAATTAGGTTTGCGCATATTCATGTATGGGGAGCTTGTCAGTGCATTAGTAAAGGAACTCAATGAGCTGAGGTCATCAAAACGTAATGAAGCACAGGATTCGGTGCTGAAGGTAAACCATCAAGGGCACCCCACTCGCACCGTTGGATTAACGGAACTGCAGGGCGGTGTCACGAGGACTCCGATGGAGTACGGGGTGCTGTACCTACCGAAGGTTGAAAACTTTCCGCTGGTGGACGGCTTTTTCTTTGTTGATTCGCCGCGGAGGACGCTGGTTGGGCTGCAGATGAATACGGCGGGTGCGCATCACACGATAACCAGCACTGTGTGGCAGTTCTATAAACGCCTGGCGGAATATTTTAAGGGCTGGAAGAAATTATCCCGAGACATGTCGTGGGAGACGATTTATGTACAGCACGCAGCCAGCAAAATGATAACGAAATGGCAGAGATGTGATTGCGTCAATCCCAAAAATTTGAGCGACGGTGAAAAAGAAATTTTGGCGTTCTGGGACGGAAAGGTACACCAATACCAGTTTGTGTTGACACGTGATTTTGTAAATAAAATCCGAGAAATGAGAATACAACAATCTTGGGGGAAAGGGATAGGGAAGAAAGTTGGGGAAATAACTGGGGAACAGAGTGCATTTCGTTCTGGTGAAATATATTGGGAGTATTTTAGCGATTTTTATGTGTGTGTGTGCCTACGGGGTCTAGACAGTGAGTGCCTTTCCTTTCAGAGAACCGTTGTGATCGGCAGTGCCACACTCACCACACACTTTTTTCATTTTATTTTATTTTTTCCACCAGAGGCGCATCGTCACTGGAGGCTGTTGCGCACTACAGGGGCCGCATAATTTTCCTTTTTATTTTCATGGGATTTTGTGAGAAGAATGCCTGAGAGGGCGGCTGGCTGCCCAAATAAATTCATATCTCGCGCAAACGAAGGTATCTCTCCACAACTTTTTCCTCTTCTATCGCACTGTCTTTTGGGAGACTGCGACTGAGGGAGTCAGGGAGCCGACAGCTGCCAGACGAAATTATTACTTTTTATTTTTATTTTTTCCGTCCCACCCACCCACTTTGTGATTCCCACCTTGCAGCGTTTTTTTGTGGGTGGAGGAGCCCAAAGGCCTGCCGCTTCGCGGGGGATAAGTGTTTTTATTTGTAACTGTGCGCAGCAGTCCACGGCAGTGATTGACGGAATGTGCATATATTTTGGGGGAAACATTGCGGCGAACTCATTGCCTCTCCATTTGCCGCTTTTTTTCCTTTTTCCTTTTTGGGTAATTTCAGAATCCGGCCAGCGGCCCAGAAGATTATTCAGTGTTGTTTCCCTCTCGGTCTCTCTCTCTCTTCTTTTCTTTCTTTCTTTTTGTCTTTGACCTTCCTGTGTGTGATGCAACAAACACACAGTGCAGCATTCAATGTGATATTCTCCCAATGGAGGCGAAAGCCGTTTCTTCTCCCACCAAACCACGACGCCGTCCTCGCAGCTTCCCGCGACAATGCGGGTGGACGGCAACACGGTGCGGTTGAATTCCCCCCAGCCCCTGAGGGATGCCGGATTTGCGGTTGCTGAGGCCTTATTTGACGTCGATGTGGCGTTGGACGTGCCGGCCGCAAGTACACTCTTCCGAAAATTGTGTGCCACTGCCGCCCCCAACTTTCCTCATGAACGCAAGAACATGGTGGCCTTCAGCTACGGCGTGCGTTCGTCACCAAAGCGACAGCTCATGTACGGCTCTGCAGCTGGAGAAGGATATGCTGCTTGAGTCATCACCGAATTTATTCGGCTGGGCGCCAAAAAGGGCATTTTTGCCCTCTCGTGCTATGTCATTGGGCCAACACAGCATCGCGCAGACCTTCTTGACGCCGACAACGAGCCCGGAGTTATTGTGGGCTCCGTGAAGGAGGGACCTCGTGTGCGAATGGCGGCACGAATTCGTGTCTCATCGGCCGGCGACGTTCGAGCGGCGATGGAAACTATCTTCAAAAACTATGAGAAATGCTTTTTCCCCGTGCTGTGTGAAAAGCAGCCAGCGCCTGAGCTGGAGGCAATGCCTTCGTATTTGCCCGACAACGTCGTTCCTCCGCTTTACCGCGATGATGGTGAGGCGGAGTTTGCAGATTATATGGATGCAAACTCCCTGACATTTGTCGCCTTGGGAGATGCCGGACGGCCCGCTTTGTGTGGCATTGATGCCGCCGCGCAGCTACACCACGAAGGGGCCCAACGAGCACTGGTGTCGGCAGCAGGAATTGTCTCCAGCATTTGCCGCCGTCGTCTGTGCATTCCCTTTGGAAATTCAGAACTCAGTCAGTTGTTGCGCCGGGCGTACAATACGGAAAAAGGCAACCGCAACAATAGTTTCAATGGTTCTACCGAGACGGTTTTGTTGACTCAAGCCTTTTCGGATGCCGTGTGGGCGGAGGAATCGTTCCATTATTTCTCCATGACTCTTCGTGTTGGCAATATTCTTGGCTCGACCGGAATTGGATCCGCCACAAGGGATCTTGCCGTTGACAAGTGGCGTCCTGATCAGGACATCATGGAGTTGCGGGATGAGCTCATGATTGCCCGGACCGCGTACGACCACAGGCATTGTGGCTATGAATCCAACAGGCCATTTCAGACATAAAGGAGGAAGGGATGAAGCGCATCAACGCCATTGAGAGCAACCGTGAGGAGGCGCGGGAACGGCAGCTGAGTGTGTTTCGCGAGCGCACCAAGCATGAGGCGGAGAAGATGATCAAAGAGCTTGAGCGGAGAGGTGGGACCACGTTGGACGAACTTGAGAGGACTCTGGAGGCGAAAAAGCGGGAGAGCACTGCTCTGCAGGCCGACCGCGAAAGCCGCAATTGGGAGTACGAGCATAAGCTGGAGAAGATCCGAAAGAAGAAACAGGACGAGGAGAGTGCCTCGGAGAGGTTGCGGCAGGCGATGCAGCAGCCGGAGCAAGGACTCGGCCTACGGCAGAGCGCCATTGGACGAGGGAGCAGCAGCTCGAGATGGTTCAACTTGACAGGGCGAGGGGGCGAGAGGCCATCATGCGGGAGCGGCATTCCTTTCAGGCGATGCGAAAGACCGTCCTGGAGGAGCGCCGCCGCCAGCGGAGGCAGTGGATTCATCAGATTAGAGAAATGAATGCAAAATTCCCGGAAACGGTGCGTCCCTTGGCCGAGGAGCGGAAGAAGAACTGCGAGCAGGCGACAGCCAAGGAGGACGCCGCCGAGAGGGCTCTTGCTGCCGACGTCAAAATGATCGAGGAGTGTTTGCCGAGGCTCATTTCCCTTGAAGACATTCCTGTGAACCCGGAGGAAACGGACATCATTCGACGCCAGTTTGACGAGGTCTTCACGCAAGAGGAACAGACATACTTGGCCAGCGCTGAAGAGGAACGGGCCCGCAAGGAGAGGCTGGGACGAGGGCTCGAGGTGTATCGACAGCGTATGCTTGATGACTACGTGGCAAAGAAAAATGGAAAACTGCATGACGCCGAGGCAACGGAACGCCACCTCAGTCCTGTTGTGGATCAGGTGCTGAATTAATTACGCAACGGGGTCTGCGTGACAAAGATACCGAGCAAGGGCAATGCTCGCGGACGCCCATGTTTTCTCTTGGAGGACTGCAAACGTATTCATTCCTGTGATCTGGACCGTCAGGGATTCCCGTTAAATCGCAAACGGCCTCCAGTCACCATGTGGTTACGTGACATCGAAAAAGTTCTCATCGGCCTGTCCACAACCTCATTTGTGAACTACAGCGGCGAGGCACAGCTGGCAACAACACGCCAGGAGACAGTTTTTGGCAATGGGACGTACCGCCATGATGCCACGCAAAACATCACTCCATCCAGCCTTGGAACAAACAACCACCGCGCATTCGCACTTTTACTTCGCGGTGGGAAATCATTGGAGGTGGTTTGTGAGACTGACAGCGACTGCGAGGCTTGGCTTGTTGCTCTCAAGCGTCTACTGCATTTGAGGACTCCTGCGGAAAGGCTTCTTGAGGAACGACGGGGTACGTGAAGAGACGCACGTGCGCAGCCAAGCGATAATGACGTGGAAATGCGGTGGTGTGGCCACTTGACACCCGCAATATGCGAGGATTTGTTTTGTTGGCCCCCGATGCAGCAGCTCTTTGCGGCGAGGATCACATCCCGCCAGCCCTCTTCCTTCGGGTGGAACAGGAGCTGGCGGAAAAGTCTCAAAGGAGCACAATAACCGCCTGTGGCGTCCGAGTTTGCTCGGGCCCGGATCTCTTTTGCTCTGGCCGACTTTACGACTACTTGCGCGAAAAGCGTGTCGCTCCGCCTCCGTACTAATGCCGTGGGATCTTTTATTGTTTTTCTCTCTTTTCCCCATGGCTATTTGTGGTTTTCTTGTGTGCTCTTTTGGATGTATTGAGGCGGCTGGTTGGAGAGAGGCTAACTGCCGCACAATTTTGTGTGAAAAGGACTTTTGAACCCCACGTGTTTGGGTCATTAGCGAGTGAAGGGAAGAAAAAAGGAAATGATGGTCACCACCAGTACTACTGCTGCTGCTTCTTTCCTTTTCTTTGCTGCCGCTTTTAAGTGGGCTATCCATCATTTCTTGTGGGTGTTCCACACCCCTCTTCTCTTTCCTCTGTTTCCGGATGCGTTTTTTTGTTTGGAAAAAAAGGCCTTCTGCAGGCATAATGAGACTGCCGTCCGTGCCACACGAGGCAGTGGGGAGTTTCCTGGAATTTATTGGCGGGGTGGCACCGCACCCATGCGGTGTGGTAGTTTTGTATTCCGCAATGCACGGTGAGGGGGATGTGCGGTGACAACTTCCTCCAGTGGAGCGACACGAGCAGCACGGGGAGCGGAACGGAGGAGTGGTGGCTGCGTGCTTCCAAGTGATATGTGAATGGCGAATGCAATATGAAAGGCAGCGTCACGGCACACTTTTGCCATGCACACCGCAGATATTTTCCATAAAGCATGCAAGTTACACTCTTTTTTGTTGTGTGTGGAATTACCGTGATGCATCGCTGTTGTGGCGTTTACGATTTGTGTTTCTTGCGTGTGGCTGTTGCTGCACCGAATACTCCTCCACTTTTGTATGTTTGTCAGGTTTATGCGCGCATTTCATCTTGCAAAGTGTGTGCGGTGACGGCGGTGCCACACGGGTGCGGGACAGTGGCGAGCGGAATGCGTGGAAGAACCCTCCGTGCGCACCACGCTGTTGTTGTTGGCTCTCTCAAACACTGTGCTGGGTGGATGACATTCACTCGCCGTCGTTGCGGTGGTGCCTGTGCATGTGGTGTGCGTCGCACGCTGTGTCGTCACACTGTGTGAATGACTCTATTTTTTTGGCTGCCCGTCGGGACTGTGCCTATTGTTCCCATCTCTCTCATTTTCCTCCTTTGATTGGTGGTCAGTGTTCGGCTTTAACACGAGCCAACTGCGGGGACAAGGGGAAACAATGCGTGGAAAGCGCAAGAGAGTGCATGGCGATCATGAGGAAGGCCCTGCGTCCACTGTGCCGCGGGGAGATGGTCGGAGGGGAGCGAGGCCGGAGACCCACAGCGACACGGATCAACCCGCTGCGACTCGCAGAAGGGCGAATGAGGTGCGGCGATTAATGTGGGCTATTTACAGTCGGGTGGAAGGATAAATGCTGCAGGGATTGTAAGAGTCTGTGTAAAATGCGAGGTGGCATCATGCCAATGAAGTTCCTGACGGCGAGTGGACGGGAATGGAAGTGAAGGAGGGGGAACCACCGCAGTCATGGACCTACAGGGCAGTTTGCATGACTCTCGAAAAGGATGACGGTGTGCGACAATCCGGTGCACCGCGTCCCAGGTTGATGGTGCTCACCTCGGACAAGGGATGGCCGTACTCGTGGAAGGAGGATGGATCCACTCGTGACTGCCATGTGAACTGTGAGGTGGAGCGAGTGTGGCAGATCGTCCTTGGCGATCTCACCGAATTGTTCAGCACTCGCGGTGGGACCGACTTTAAGCCCAAGAGGCGTGTGTTGATTGGGACGCCCGGTATCGGGAAGTCGATGGCTGCCGGCTCGTACCTCCTCTATCAGCTGCTGCACCACGATGCGGAGCGACTCCCTGCGGTTGCGTGCTTTATTTGTAATTGAGCATTCCTGTTTGACAAGACCACCCAAACGGTGCGGGAATACGTGGATACTACGAAATCTAAGAGAGTCTTCTTTTTTTTTTTGGCAGCTGTGAGGCTGTGCGGCAGCGCGCTTGCCGTGCGTGTGGCATCTTTTGCCGTTGCTCCCTCGCTGTGTTGGTGGGGGAGTGGGCGAGCGGCTGCGTCGGTGGAGTTGCGCCCAGTGGGAGAGGGAAGGTGCTGACCGCCGCTGACGACGACGGTCTTTGCTGCAGGCGATCTGACGGGATGACGTCACCGGTGTCACAGTTAACAGAGATGGATGAGGGCCGCACTGCGTCTCCTACCCCTCCCTTCGTCCCCTCCGTCCACTGCAGTCACACCCGCCGCGCGGCATCTGCACGACTACCATCCGGATGTCTGTGGGCCAATCGGAATGTGCAATTGGTGTGGACCCTTTTCCCCGTGACCAAGTGCTGCCGCCGCACTTCTTTGTTCCCTTCTTTGTGCAATGCCGTGCGCTTATGGTGCCGCTGATTGCTGCGCAATGCCGACTTGTGTGAACGAGAAACGACGCATTGACTGCTGGCGACCGGCGAGCTCTCCACTCCACTCACGCACCAACACCAACACCAACACCAACCTTTTGTACGCGCTTGATGACTGGCGGTCGTAACGCTGCCACGTGGCCTGCCTCGGCTCCTGTATGACGTCTACGCATAGGGATCGCCATGTGATGGAGCCATTCGGTAACAGGAGCGGTGCCAGTGGTCATTTGGCTTTTTGCCGGGATTCCGCCACTCGGCACGGTGGCTTTGTGGGGTTGTGTGGGTGGTGGGAGGGTGATGGTGTCACTGACTTGATTGCGTCTGCGCTGCTTTGTGTCGGCGGTTGTACTGTGACGGGGATTGTGTATGGCCGGATGATTTTGCGTGCCACTGTGTTTGACTAATGTTGTCGCCGTTTTTATTCCTTTTTGACCGTGCAGTTAGAGATACTTTTGCTTTACCAGCACAACTATCGTTTCAAGGTGTTAGGGATTAATTGCAGCAGTAGAATTTGTAGTATTGGGATATCGACCTATCGGAATTGTGTCGCTGGATACGCCATCTGTAGGAAAGGATTTGATAGACAGGAGTTATGGTGGACGGGGCGAGTGCGAAACACCACGACAGCCCTGTTGGTACTTGTCTGGGTCGGTGGATGCGGTCTGCGGTGGGCGCGTGTCCGTGCAGCCGGCACCGCGTGTTACGCATGGCCATTCCAGCTGTGCGTGTGGCGCTGCTTGTGGCGTTGGTGCTGGCAGCAGCTGCTGCGTGTATGCCCGCAGTGCATGCGGTGGTGTTGCGACTGCGGGGCGGTACGGTGGACAGAGCCATCACGGTTGGCCGCGCCGTGGACACGGTGCTGATGGACGGCGTGTACATGACGAACGGCGTGGCTGTGGTGTTCGACGTGGCGGCAATGCTCCCCGGCGTGCTGCGCATCGAACTGAGGAACTGCGTGTGCGACGGTGGTGCGCAGATCTACGTGCGGGGCCACAGCGGCGAGCCGGCGAGTGACCGGAGCCTGGAGGCGAGCGTGAGCGGGCTGTCCGGCGACTACTGCTCGCTTGTGTTTGTGCACAACCTGCCAGCACACACGAACGTGACGGTCCGTGACTCGACGATTGTGACGCCGGGGCCGATGCGCTACTCCCAGCTGAGTGGGCTGACGGACGCGGTGGCGTCGCCGCTTGTGCTGCATGCGACGTCGCTGTTGCAGACGCAGCTGCGTGTGAGCAACACTGTGCTGAGGTCGTTGCAGGCGGGCGGGTCGGCGGTGTACGTTGGCGGCGGTGTGGAACTGCTGTCGAGCGCGGTGGTGCTTGACGGCGTGTTGCTGGAGGCGTCGGGCGGTCCGACCGCTTCCGCGATGCATGTGGCGTCCTCGTCGATTCTCAGTTTGCGGAGCCACTCGGTGCTCTCCGTGACGAACGTGTCGGTTGTGAGCAGCGGCGGCGGCATTGTGCTTGGCGAGCGCCTCGCGGTGTTTGATTCGGTGCTGCGCTTCGTGGGCGTCGAGGGGTCTGTTGCGTCGTCGCTGGTGCGCTGCGACGGTGGGACGGTCGGTGCCGGTGGGTGGCTGGAGCTGTACGACGTATGGGCGGTGGGCGAGGCGTCGTCGGTGGCATCGCTGTCGGGGGTGACGCTGAGCGGCGGTGCCGTGTCGATTGCGCGTTGCACTGCCGCCGGCGTTACGCTTGTCTCCGGGCTGACGATCACGAGCGGCGTCGTGTCGGTGCAGTGCAACCGTGCCGGCGGCCGGGTGCTGCAGAGCAGCGGCGACTACCGCATGGCCGGCCTGATCTCCGTGAGCGTGGTGCCGTGCGACGGCTGTGCGGCTGCGCTGGCGTGCTTTGATGCGCTGACTGCGTCGTTCTCCGACTGCGTGTGCGGCTGCCGTGCCGGCGGTGTGGGCGACGCGTGCCTGCCGTTCGACGTGCCGCCTGCGAGGGCCGGTGGCGATACTGCGGAGGGCTGCGTGAGTGGCGTGAAGCTGACGAAATCGGTGACGGTTGGCGGCGGGCGTGCGACGGCGTGCTTCGACTCGGTGGTGTTCAGTGGACCGATCACTGTGGCGGTGGACCTGCGCTCGATGGATGTGTTCGCTGACGCGCTGAACGTGACGCTGCGCCACTGCGTGCTTGCGGGCGGCGCGCAGCTGCGGATTGGCGGCCTCAGCGAGAGCACGGCGCGTCTGGTGCCGCACGCCCTCGTCAACATGACGAACGTGACGTCGCTGGAGGGCACGATTGTGCTGCATGGCGCGATGCCGCCGAACTCGAGTGTGCTGCTGGCGAACTCAACGCTGCGCGCGACGGTTGGCGGGTCGCAGTACGTGCCGACGACCCGTGGACACGAGAAATCCCGGTACGGCCCCGCGCTTGTCCTGGACGGCGTCCGGCTGCTGTCGACGCGGTTTGTCATGACGCGGTCGTCACTGGTGTGTGGCGGGGAGTCGTGCGCTGCGATCCTCGTGGAGCGCGGCCTTGGTGCGTACCTGTCCAGCGTCTTCTACATGGACAACTGCGCAGTGAGTTCGCGGGCGCATGTGATGTACGCTCTTGCATCGGACCTGCGTGTCAGCGGCGGCTCCGTGTTCTCCATACAGAACAGCTCGTGGAGTGCACCGAGCACCGAATACTACAACGGCGCGTGTGTGTTCAAGGATGTTGTTGTGGCTGGCGGCAGCGTGCTGCAGGTTGTGTCCAGCACCTTTCGTCTCGGCTTTGCCATGCTCATCACAAACACGCTGACTGTGACTGACGGCAGCTGGCTGGTGCACCGCGACAACGAGTTCCGCACCGCCTACGTTGTGTACGTGGCCAAAGAGAACGGCGTGGCGTTCCGCGATCGGAGTGTGTGGTCGATACTTGACAACAACTTCACGTACGGCTCGTACTCGTCGACCATAGCAAATATGACAAGCAACTGGTCACCACCATCCGACTCGCGCCCGACCATATACGGCGTGTGCAACGAGGCAAGGGGCTCTCCTGTGACGAATTACCAAGACGACCTCAATATTGGAGCACCCGTGACGGTGCTGGACTGTGGTGCGTGCACGGTGGACGCCGTGTGCTTCGCAGCGAGGACGAGCAGCATCAGCGGCTGTGAGTGTGTGTGCGCTGCTGGCGGCTACGGTGACACGTGTCTGCCAGCTGCTGTTCCGGACGGCCTTGGACCGCTCCCGCTCCTCGATGCGAGGGACACGGAGGCCCGCTGCGTGCACGGTGGCATCATCAGCTCTTTGGACGTTCCTGATCCCGGTGTGCGTGGTCTGTGCTTCGTCAACGTGACCTTCACCGCCGCGGTCGTGCTTGAACTGTCACATTTTGACGCACCGGAACAGACACTGAACATCACACTGCTGCAGTGCGTTCTCGTGGGCCTGTTGATCAGGGGGAGTGGTGCGCGCGTGCACATGAACGTGACATCCTCGATGTTGGATTCTGGTGCATTTGAGTTTGAGGGTGATTTTGGCGTGAGCTCCCAGATACTGGTGGTGGGCAGTACACTTGTGACGACGTCGAGCTACGCCGTTGCCTTTTTGGATTTTGTTTTTGGTGCGAACGCGACGCTGCTGCTGCTTGACAACAAAGTTGAGGGGAATAGTTACGCAGTCTATTTTTCCTCTGGTATTGTTGATGGTGGCGGGGTCATTTTGAAGGGAAATACGCTGAGCACAACGGAGGAGGAGGACGGTGTGGAGTCGTCCATTTGCATTTACGCCGTTATGAAGAATGGCGGCTACATTGACGTGGAGGATAACACGATGAGCGCGTTCAAGGGAGTTTATTTATTTGAGGATACCGTTGTGAGCTCTGCGGGGCTGCTGCGAGTGGCGGACTGCAACTTTGTTGGCAGCGCGGAGTTTTCGGATTCCGCATTGGTGCATTTTGACGGCTATTTGACTCTCGAAGGAGGTGCGCAGTGGCGTGTGGAGGGCAACAAGGTGAGCGCAGCCTTAGTATTAAGTATAGCACATGCCCAGCACAAAATTCAGCTGTCAGACAGCGCCACCGTGGTGCTTGCACACAACCGCCAGGTGGACGATAGTTATTCTTTTGCTGATCTGGCCTCGTCAGACACTATTGTGGCTTCCCCCGCGAAGTTTGTGGTTGGGTGCAACCTGCAGGGCGGTGAGGAGGCGTCGTACGACGACGTGTTTCCGGAGGGCGTGGTGGTGTTTGGGTGTGGGACGTGCAACGACGACGCGGCGTGCTACATGCCCGGGACGGAGTCGGTGGACCGCGGCTCGTGCTCGTGCAGCTGCAAGGACGGATGGCACGGCGCGTCGTGTCTTCCCTTCGAGGTGCCCGACGCGGTTGTGCCGCCCGTGGCGGAGAGAGCCGTGGACGGCGACACGAGCTGCGTGGTGAACCAGACGATGACGAAAATTACGCTGAAAATGTGGAAGACGCACCACTGCTACGTGGGTGTGACATTCAGCGGCGTGGATGCTGCGCTGACTTTCTTC